TATTTAATTTATCCTGCATTTGACTCCTTGAATGAAACGGAAGAGAAATATCATCTGTTCAGATCATCAATGGATTTTTTTTTTGAAGGGGGGGGGGTAGGTGTGGGGGGGGGGGGGGGGGGGGGTTCATATTAAACTCAATTCTTGGTGTTGCAGTTGCTGTCTTCATAAACCAGTCTATTGTCAGTAAAATTAGGAGAGACGACAAAAAACACCCCTCTTGCACACCTGTTTTTAATTCAAATGTATCTGTTAGCTTTCATTGATGAAGAACTTGTCCCTTTTTATGTATTTATATTCTGCCTTTACTAAGTTAATAATTTTCACAGGCATTGCGCATGACTCTCTTTACTTTCAGTTTGACTCCAGTCACTTGCAGACTTCTCACTCGTGCACTGACAATGAACTCAACAGGTGAAAGATGGACGACATGAATGACATGATGCGTTTGTCAATTTTTATTGTTCATTCACTCGCTGATTCTTTGGCCAGTACATGGTGAGGTAAAAGTCTAGGTTTATATAGCATTGACTAAATCAACTTTACCTCCACACGAATACAAAGATGTCTGTTTACACAACAGCAGCTGAAACTGACAATTCATCTTGACACGCAAACTCAAAACTCAAACATTTTCAGCGATGACTGTGCCAGTTCTTAACTAAGGCCAGGTTGGGCGTTGGGCATTCACAAACACATCTGGTACATAATTTCCTTTATAAGTTGAAACAAATACTTTCTCCACTCCACATGCGCACAGTTTCCTTTGCCCAGACGAGACTGCCCACTATTCTAGGGCATTAAATAATCTTCTGTGGCCCACATTTGAATTACACCCACATCCGAATTCTCATTCTTTCCATTTGGCACAGATTTGGCGAGATTCATTTGGCTAACAATTTCCCCCGTACATTCAGTGCTTTGCCCTATTATTATATGTAATGTTGCTATTTGGTCAGTATAGGATCTGTTTGGCTGAAAACATGACTCTTCATATCTTCGCTTTTTAATCAATAACATCATTTAATCATTCTAAAATAACCCTACCAAATATTTTCCCACGAATTAAAAGCAAAAATAATTCCTCTACAGTTTTCATACTCCTGTAAAACAACTTTTTTTTTTTTAATTAGGCAGTTCCATATGAAATCCCTTTCTCCAGTCTGATATTTTTTCTACGGTCTACCAGACTTTGCTAAATAATTTCTTTAGCAATTCAGGTAATGTGATTTTTACTGGATTTAATAACGTCTGCTGGGCTACCACCGGAACCTGCTGTCTTTCCTTCCTTTAGAAGACTGGTGGTTTTTTTTTTTTTTTAGACTTTCTTTTTAGATGTTATCTCACAGCTGATATCCAGTTTCCATTTCGGAGGACCCTCTGGGGCTGGTCTATTTAAAAGTATTCAAGAATATTCAGCCCATCTGTCCAATTAATCTTTAGTGTTGGTGAGTACCTTTCCTTGACTATTTTAGATTGATCCAGTTAGCTGACAATATTTACCTAATAATTCCTTGTGTTACTGCAAAGGCTCTGAGGTTTCATTTTACTGCTCCTGTCTTCGTTTCTTGTGCAAGGTCATCTAATTGTGCCCTTTTATCTGACCCCATTCGACTCCTAACTACCTTAATAGCTTCTGCGTATTTTGTCTGTGCTCTAGGTTTAGCAACTCTTGTTTCGCAATTGTTTAAATTTGTCTGTTTAACTTTTATTTCCTACGTTATTTGAATTTGTTTCTGGTGTTATCCACGCATTATGTTTCTTTTTTTTTTCTTACCACTCTCTTCCCACCAGGTGGTAAACCGATGTATGACAAGCTGGATATTGTGAGGGCTCTTTGGGGGCTAGTGAATAGTGCCGAGGCACAGAAAGATCATTACGGTCAGAGGAGAATGGGCAATGCGAGGAGTTATAAAGGACTCTGGACGACGCTTGACACTCATAGAAAGGCTAGATGGATTTACAATCAGACAGTTACTGGTACCATCTGAATTTTAACTCATCGCTTGCTGCTGAAGATGGGGACGGATCGCTGTCCCGAGTGTGGTGATGTCGATTCTCAATTCAACATTCATCACTCAACACTCTTGGTGTTCAGGACTCGATGGGTAGCACTGTCTGTCATTCCTTGTGGGTGACTCATGCCTTTAATTAATATCATGGGTTTATCCTCTCTTTGATTTCCCTCTGTGACACTCTAGTGTTTATGCAGATAGTTGTTGTGACAGCATACAATCGAGACAAACTCATATGATCTTATTTCGCGTTTAATTAACAATTAAGATCTTTAAAAACTATTTCACCATTAAAATAAACACACTAGTTCTATCTAATTTAGCTAAGATAAAATAAAATAACCACACATATCATCCATCGTGGCCTAAGATGTATACAGGTCTGAAACTGACATGCCAGTGGTAATTGCTGTTATTGGACTTGCCCTATCCTCGGGTCGTGAACAGTCCGTTTGGGAACTTTCTACCTCACTAATACACCATTGAACAGACAGGCAAACATCACCATACTTAAACTTCACTCGGCGATACATTTCTATGTTCCACCCCATTTCCTGATCAAACACAGGATATCAAACCGCTGCTCCTTTGTGGTGCATGTTAAATGAGGGCGGTAATCTTAAAACTGTTATTATGACGTAACTGTGTTCAACTGCCCTCTGGTGTCACTTGCTTAACACTCTTGTCTAAAAGTTAGTTGCGTTTCCTTTACTGGACGTTGCAGAACCAACCCAAGCATTTTTTTTTTTAGCTGAACTGGTTTTTTCTAGGCAAATTTACGTCCAGTAGTTTGTCATTGCCTTCTGGACGGTCGGCTTCTCGATACCACTGTCGAAACGAACGCAAGGCATTAGGCCCGCAGTTGGGATAGAACGCGGCACTCCGGCATTACGAAATGCGTTCGCAACGCCTAAGCCACAGACGCCGACCTCTTGTCTAATACTGTCGCAACATTTAACATTATTTATAGCTTACAAGATAATGACATGGGTTTTGTAATGTTATCACACTTTCAAAGTTGTCATCTGATGCCTTGTATTAATCATAGGATTCAAATCTTTCAACAGTTGGGACTCTGTATTGATGTATAGTTGTCCCCTTAGCATAAACAGGACAGGAACACAGGCCTGATCGGAGACACAAGTGATCCTATGAGATGGCGGATCTCGTTTACGAATGCTAATCGGCGTGGTACCTCGTGATGATAAATACAATAACTGGCGTAAATGACCAATGGCTCTGCATTGTAAGTCACTCAATATTGATTATGACTTAGTAATGGTTTCTTTATTCATCATCATCATCATATTTAACACAACACACATGAACAACAAAATTATCAACACCGTTATTATAATTCCTATTATTATTTTTGAACAGCATTGTTAGCAGAAGTCATAATAGAAGAAGATGTGGCATTAGGAACAGTGGTACATTAAAAACAAACTGCAATAGTGACAACGATAATTACAACAAAAACAGCAACTGATTCTACAACAGCTATTGTTGCTGTTGCTGCTTATCCTGTAGTAGATGTACTAGTAGCAGAAACAGGATTCGGTTTAAATGTAACAACTGTCGTTGCAATAATTAGAAGACAACAGCTATATTAGTTGTAGTAGTTGTTGTTGTGGTAGCAGTGACACCGGTAGTAGTTTTTGCTGTTATAGTAGCAGTAGCAGCAGTGACCGTACGAATCTTTTCCTCTTCTTTCCTCTAGTCCTGGAATGCCCCGCAGCCTCAGGGCAGGGGGAGATTTGTGGAATATTGTCCTTTTCAGAATCTCTGATATTTCTCCAGCCCATGTTATGAATTGTCGACCTCTGCCTCTGTTAAAGTTGTATCTGTGAAACATTGCCCTCTGTAATGACCAGTCTTGTTAAAATCTTGTTATATGGCCAAGCCACTTGACCTGTTTGCTGTCTACCGATAAAGTATTGGTTCTGGGCTAACTCTCCTCCGGATCGTTCACAAGTTTGTCTATTCTTGTTACACATAGCATAGTATGTAATCATTTGAGTTATGTCGTGACTCTTTGTCTTCTGTCTTCTGTTGCTACCTGTAGTTGTCGTAAAAGTAGTATTAGTAACAGTAGTAGTATTAGTTGTGGTATTAGTAATAGTAGCAGTAGGGGTAATAGCGAAGGTGAATGGACGTCGCTTGGTGCATCAGAGCCTGGCATATGATAATCACAACGTCTAGTTTGAGAATGGAGGTGGAAGCAGTCACTGCTGCCTTCCGCTGGCTTGAGAATTAGCTGTACACACATGTCGTCATTGTAACTGACTCACAGAGCGTGCTGAGAAAGGCGGAGAGAGGCATACTCCGTGCAGAGTGGCAAGTATCGCTCCTGATGTCCGGGTAGTTAGCATCCTTTTGAAATTTTCTCCAAGTGATGCTGGTTTGTTAAGAAATGAGCAGGCAGATAGACAGGCCGATCCTGCACCACTTGGTGGTAAACTGATTTATGACAAGCTGGATGTTGTGAGGGCCCTTTGGGAGCTAGTGAATAGTGGCGAGGAACTGATAGGTCATAACTGTCTGAGGAGTATGGCACTGCCAGGAGTTACAAGAGGATCTGGCCGACGCTCGACACTCAGGGGAAAGGCCAGACGGATATACAATCAGACAGTTACTGGTACCATCAGAATTTTAATTCTTCGACTGCTGCTGAAGATGGAGACAGAGCGCTTATGGGGGTGTCCCGAGTTCTTAATTCAACATTCAACTTTCAACATTTTTTGTAGTTGCAGTAAAAATACTGGTAGATGTAGCAGTAAAAAATATAGCCCCAAGAGTAGTGATGTTAGTGATAGCAATATTAATATTGATGCTAGCTGCAATGGTAATAGCATGTGTAGTAGTAAACTTGTTATTAATCTCGCTGTTTACATCAGTGTATTCACTTTTGATGCTAGCTGATGGTAATAGCAGTTGTAGTATGTGTAGTAGTAAACGTGCTATTGATCTCGTTGTTTACATCAGTGTGTTTACTTTTTATCCTTGGATGTGTTGCAGGTCGCCCTGTATTTGTACGATGGATAGTCTTATGTCTGTGCCTGGTTGTGGTGACATTGATTCTGTCTCACCCATTTCGAGACTGGCTGACTTCAAAGACTGTCATCCCAAGTTTGTACACCGTGTACAAACAAGAGGGAGCTCTAAATCACAGTCCCCACAACACAAATGTCAACGTAAGAAAATTTCTAGACCCGAACAAAACAGTTCCTACCAAACCACGACCATCTACCTGTGTGTTTCCACAGATGATACATGGCCCTAGTGCTTTGAACGTACCAGGAATGAAAAAAAAGGCAATCAACTGCAAGGAAACAGATCTGCTCGACATTATGTACATCACATCAGACAAGACACTCAAATTAAACACAAGTAAGCTTGAGGAAATTTTGCAGATTCGCGATCTTCACAACTGCACTTACAGACAAATCTTCCGTAATGGGACAGATAGCATTAGCTTCATAAATAGTCAATGGTCGAAACTTCTTATAGACTTTCCAGACCTGGCTGAAAATGCTGAATTTCTACAAGTAGAGTGTACCAACATATTTTCTGGAGCTCTATCGAAGACTTTTCACAGGAAAATTCTCGAAAAAGAGGAATTTCAAAAGCCAGGTTCCTTGAATTTTAAAAAGCGTCAAATTAATTCAAATATAAATGAAACATTAAGCGTAATTATGATCGGAATGGACTCACTGTCTAGAGCTCACCTTTTCACAGCCTATAACAAAGCATATTCGTATTTGATAAACTCACTGAAATCATTTGATCTAACCATGCATTCACAAGTAGGGGGCGATAAAACATCCAATTTCTGGCCATTATTTAGTGGTAATCCGGCAGTAGAAGTTCAGAACTTGTGTTCCAATACCAGTGTCAACACTAATCCTGACGTAGTCTGGCGTGCCTACGAAGATGCTGGTTATCGAACTGTGCTTATAAAAAGCAATCCTGATGGCGGCATTTTTCATGATCTTCTCAAAGATTGTGTAAAATCTTCTGTTAGATATAACTTACGGCTATTGGTTTTTGTTATGTGTAGCAAAACGAGTGCACGTAGGTCCAAACAAAATTCTTTGTGTGCCGAAAACCAGCTTTATACGAATAATCACCTGAATTGTATCCTTCACTTTCTTTACGCATTTCCCCAACAACCAGTATTTGTTTTAGTCCATGTTAACTACACCCGCTCGCCAGAACAGAGCCTCTGAGATGTTGTTGGATCAAAATCTTTTAAATTTCTATGAGTCGTTGAACCAAAACGGTATGCTGAATAGATCTTTACTGGTGTCATTTTCAGATCAAGGAATGAGGGCATGGTGGGATAGGTCACGCTATGAATAGATACACTGAAAGCAGAACTCCGTACACTTTTCTGACATTTCCAGAATGGTTTCTGAAGAAATACCCCGACGTGGCTGAGAACTTGAAATTAAACACTAGACGTCTAACTTCACATTTTGACACACATGCAACTCTTTTAGATCTGCTTCACATCAGCAGCGACAAACCACCGCTACTTGTGCCTCTCAAACACGGAATCAGTCTTTTCAAGAAGATCCCATGGAATAGGACGTGCAGTGATGCAGATATCCCGTCAGATTCCTGCGTGTGTGGCTACCTCTACATTGAAGACGTCTATCCTCACATCACAGTTATCTACATTGCTGGTGGAACTTGTAATTGAAGCAATCAATTCAAAGACAGATAAAAATAAATGCGCCATTTTCAAACTTCGACAGGTTATTCGCATCCAAAAATTTGCCATTGATGAGAATCACTCTAAGGGATCTCGCAGCACAATTGTTTATAACGTCAAACTTAAAGTTCAACCAGGCGACGCACTGTTTGAAGCCAGCGTTTATGAAATTAATCAGTTTAATGAATGGAAAGTTGGTGGTCAAATAGACAGGTTAAACTTTTATAGACGCCAGTCAAGATGTCTAGATACTCAGACAAACCGACCGTTCTGCTATTGTAAAAATGTGGGATCTGAAGATGTGAGTTAGTTAGTTTGTCTTTCCTCTTGTGTCGAGTGCGGCACATAGGGCAGAGGTCATGACTCTCCATGCATGGCGGTTCATTGCAATCTGTTGTAGGTCTTCGATGTTTGAGTGGCCCATGAGTGAGCCTTCCCTGATGATAGTTCTACGTAGGGTTTCTCTTGGTCTTCCACGAGATCTTTTCCCCTGTGGTGTCCAAATGAGGGCTTGGTAAGGAAGTCTTGATTTATCCATTCTAAGGGCGTGGCCGACATAAGATGTGAGTCAGTGAGATAATACGCAGGGATGTCTCATTGTACAGGCGATGTTTCCTTTTCGTTCCAGTAAAATGCTGTTACCACACGATTCACTACAAGGCACCTGATCAAGTCGTTTGAGCATATGACTAGAAAGACATTGTGCTAGGTGCTGCAGAGTGCAGTGTTAAAAGAAATATAACAGTAATACTAGTACATTTGGAACAGAGTATGCTGAAGATGCTGTCAGATTAGAAGAACTAAGCTCTGTCTGTCAGAGCTTTACTTTTAGACCAGCTGCCAGCCAATGCTGCCTTCTCATCAGATTTTTAGTGTACTCCTACCTCCCCTCTGGGAACTATGCTTTCCGTTACTGCTCTTTCTAAGACACAGCAGCCTTTAATATCTTCACTTTATCACAGTTGGATCCGCCTGCACCTCGTCATTCCATCTCATCTCATCTTTATCCTTTGGTACCTGGCATTGTAGAGGTGAGGTATATTTACCGGAAAGTGACAGTTTGTGTCCTTCGTAAATGGAGATTCCCAGGAACTGTTATTGCCTCTGTCTAAGACTTGATTGGTCGGCCTTTTCTATGAAGAGGGACTCTGTTATTGCCTCTGTCTATGGCTTGATTTGTCGGCCTCTTCTTCGCTTCAGGCTCTGTCTGAACATCGTTGCTTGCATTGGTATACTGTTTGCTGACATCCGAGTTACATGGCCAAACCATTTCAACTGTTGTCTTTTAATAAAATCCAGAGCTGTCGTTACCCCCATTCTCCTCCGAAATTCATCCTTTCTGATCTAATCTCTAATTGTTAAATTGAGAGCCCTTCCTAGGAATGTCATTTCAGTAGTAATCTTTTGTCTCTCTTATTCTGTTATTGTCCACGCCTGGCATTGGTAGCATAGACTTGGCAAGACAATTGCATCATAGTGCTCTTTTGGTTTCCACTGACGTATATTTGTTTCTTAGTATTGGTGCCATTTGCTTAATGATTTGGTTTGCCTATGAAAGCCTATGAATGAGTAACAAGACTAGCCTAAACTAAAATCAAAGCAAAGGCAATTATTATCTCTTCTCCAGCCTCGAATGGATGACTTCCTTCGCACAAATTGATGATGGATGATGATCAAGAAAGAAAGGTGTCGACCGAAATTTCCGGAGACTGATCTCGTGCGCTCAGATGTAGCGCCAGCTTCACACAAACAAACTCTGCAAGCACATTCAGTTTTATTGTCACTGTCTTTCCTAATGTCCCCTAATCGTGAAAACACATGTTACGGTTCCTGTCACATTAATTACAATAATAATAACGGAAATACTTACACTTTTGTCAAACACGTCGCACAAAATATTACCACAAGACGGTATAAAGTTATACTCTGTCATAAAATATAATGTTCTGTCAACACATTACAACAACACAATAGCAATAAGTTCTGTGTCAAACACGTTGGGTTCACACATGACGTACAACTTCTATGTTTCAACAATACAAAACACCACAACTGTTGTGTAGAACGAAGCACATTGTGTTCAAACACGGACGACTGCTCCATGGTGTATGAAGTTAAGCTCAATAGGCTCAGACACGGACGACAGCGTCCATATTCTGTCAAGGACTTACTTTACTGCCGTGAAGGCATTAGAATCGAGCGTAGGCTCATGACAGAAATGGTTTATCCCTAAACACAACTAGATTAACACTCTCTGAGTAAACACATGGGTCTTTATAGCAAGTTACAAAAAAAAAAAAAAGCCATTCGGCAGTTAATCTGGGCGAAAGTCGTTGCGTTATTACCCAGTCGTCGACACCCCCCACCCCCCCCCCCCCCATCCATACTCAGTACTATAGTTAATAATCACCCGATCAGGTCGAGCTCAGATGCCTGCTACCTTGCTGACTTATCATTATCCCTCCGTGACATCCCATAGCTGTACAGGCCCCTGTCACATAGTTTAGAGTTTTTGGATTACGATACTTTACACTGACAATGCGAAACAATGGAAAGTGCTCACAGATATGGCTTTGCCTGTTTCAATGATGGAAGAACAAAAAGAATACATAACACAAGGGTCGATCCAGAAAACGCTATAGAACTGTCTATAAAACTTAGTCCCGTTGAGTTTAAGCTTCATGTGTCAATGGGAGGCGTTGAGACAGTTTGCAGTCACTATCTCTCGTGCAAAGTGATGATATAAATATGTGAAATCCAGCGGTGAGAAGCAAGCGAAGAAAACGAGAAAATGGAACAAACGGACGAACAAATAAATTGTATTTTTAAAGTGGTAAGAATTGGACACTCAGACCCGTCAAACATTCTTTAATATGCTTAAAAAAATATTTTTTTTAAGGGGTAAGGGAGGGGGGTTTATAGCATCATCATCATGTGCCCTGCCAACTGACGTAGGCGCTCATGTGTCTCCACAGATCACGATGCCTGGTACAGCTCTCTTGATAATGTTCCTCTATGCCATCGTTTCAGCCCATCCAGCATCATCTCTTTTTTAGTCTGCCTCTTATCCATTTTTTCGTTGATCTTTCAAGTTGTCACAATGTTCTCCAATGTCTGTCTTCTCATTACTTGGCCAAAGAACAGTGTTTGTTTCTTTCTTATTGTTGTATATAGGGATCTACTTTCATTATCTTCTTTCAAGCAATCGTTGTTAGTTACTCTGGTTGTCCAAGGTATTCGTAATATGTGTTTCTTAATATATTATTACTTCCAAAGTTTGTTGCTTCCAAATTCTTCTTATTTGTTCACTGACATTCCAAGATTCGCTGCTATACAGCAGAACAGGTTTTACAAGATCCGACAACTAAGTAATAAGACTAATTCTTTAAAAATTAAAAAAATCAACATTTCAAGGTATAACCTGTATTTTATTCAAAGTAAGCCCCTTGTGCATGGATACAGCAAGTGGCATAATCAAACAAACACTGGAAAGACCTCTGTAGTTCTTTGTTGTTATGGCCCTTAAAGTCGATGTTACAGCCCTTTGGATGTCATCGTTAAAGAAGCGCCCTTTCAATCGGTACTTTGATTTTGCGAATAGAAAATAATCTCAGGGAGACAAATCTGGAGAATAGGATGGAAGACTGAGAACACAAACTTGTTTTTGAGCCAAAAATTCTTGTTTTGATGACGTTTCTTGTGGACTCAACCCACTGATGTTTTTTGGTCATCAGAAAACGGATGTGGTACAAACCGGAAAGTAAATTTTTTCTTGCTAAAATCTTGCACTAAAATGTTATTTATGGTCTCTCTATTAACACCAATTTCATCTGCCATCATCCTCAAAGTAAAACAATGATCTTCTTGTATCCGTTTTCTGACTTTTACACTGAGTTCATCATTATAAACAGAAATTTGGCGTCTAGGTTTAGGTGCATTAGTAATCATTTACACACCACTTTTGAATCGAGAATACCACCTGAAAAGTTGTGCACGAGTTTCAATTACCCTATAAACTTGTTGCATCAATTCAAATGTTTCAATGTCGCTTTTTCTGAGTTTGAAAAGAATTTAATGTTAGCCTTTTGTTTCATGCTGATTACGTAACAATGCACTACAGATTAGGTAAAAAAACATGGCGACGTGTTTGTTGTCTGCTTATCAAGCGGCGATGAATATGAGACATAGAGAATATCTGTGTGTGTGTGTGTGTGTATGTGTGTGTGTGTGCGTGTGTGTGTGTGTGTGTAATGAAGAATTGAGTAAAGCATGTGGTGTTTGATCATGTTCAGTGGAATCATTGTACAGTTCAGATTCATGGTGTACAGACAGATAACAGATGTATAATCCAGAATTTAGTAAACCGTCGCCGTCTTCTTCTTCTTCTTCTTCTTCTTCTTCTTCTTCTTCTTCTTCTTCTTCTTCTTCTTCTTCTTCTTCTTCTTCTTCTTCTTCTTTTCTTCTTCTTCTTCTTCTTCTTCTTCTTCTTCTTCTTCTTCTTCTTCTTCTTCTTCTTCTTCTTCTTCTTCTTCTTCTTCTTCTTCTTCTTCTTCTTCTTCTTCTTTCTTCTTCTTCTTCTTCTTCTTCTTCTTCTTTCTTCTTCTTCTTCTTCTTCTTTCTTCTTTCTTCTTCTTCTTTCTTCTTCTTCTTCTTTCTTCTTCTTCTTCTTCTTTCTTCTTTCTTCTTCTTCTTCTTTCTTCTTCTTCTTCTTCTTCTTCTCTCTTCTTCTTCTTCTTCTTCTTCTTCTTTCTTCTTCTTCTTCTTCTTCTTCTTCTTCTTCTTCTTCTTCTCTTCTTCTTCTTCTTTCTTCTTCTTCTTCTTCTTCTTCTTCTTCTTCTTCTTCTTCTTTTCTTCTTCTTCTTCTTCTTCTTCTTTCTTTTTCTTCTTCTTCTTCTTCTTCTTCTTCTTCTTCTTCTTCTTCTTCTTCTTCTTCTTCTTCTTCTTCTTCTTCTTCTTCTTCTTTCTTCTTCTTCTTCTTCTTCTTCTTCTTCTTCTTCTTCTTCTTCTTCTTCTTCTTCTTCTTCTTCTTCTTCTTCTTCTTCTTCTTCTTCTTCTTCTTCTTCTTCTTCTTCTTCTTCTTCTTCTTCTTCTTCTTCTTCTTCTTCTTCTTCTTCTTCTTCTTCTTCTGTTTCTTCTTCTTCTTCTGCTTCTTCTTCTTATTCTTCTTTTTCTTCGCGTTCACCAGCTGTAAACTCTGGCGGAATTTAGTAAATGTTTGCTCTGCTGTTAAGTGTTTTGTGTATCAATGTGGAATTGTAAACCATCCAGTGTCACAGAAAATCAGTTTGTGAGCTGGAGAAGATAGTAGGA